TGGCACTCGGTCACTGGAATTCGGATTCTTTTCGGAAAAAAGTCTTCCGAAAGCCTGATTATGAGGTTCTCCTCTTAAAAACAAAAACAAAAACAAAAACAAAAACAAAAACAAAAGAACTTCTCACTTGGAAAAAGGGGATACTGGCCCTTTAACACCTAGAGGCGAGTGGGCCCCGTCCTGCAACGCCGCTTCCCAGCATGCGCGGCGCTATGCAAATGACAATGGTTTCCAAAGAGAGGATGATTCATGCCAAGTGAGAGAAAGGTAACATTTTGGAAAGATATGTGCCCCAGCTGGGGAGAATTTATAGGTAACAGTAACAATGTCACGCCCTCCCAAAGTATGTGACCATAAGTCAAAAAGATATGGATTCTTGAGTTTTATATAGCTGTGCAGCGAGCCAAGTTTCCTGCCCGGATGATCCTCAGTGGTCTGGGGTGCAGGCTTCAAACCTGTAGCTGTCTAGCGGCAGAGTGGTTCAATTCCACCTTTCGGGCGAACAACGTTAGGTTTTATTCGTTTCAAACCGCCTATTAGAGCGGTCTGTTAAGAGAACATCCCTATGTCTCAGTGTTTTAACTTCAGCCACGCGGGTGTCTTTTCCTACGGTTAGTTTGGTCACACATATATTTAATCATGCATGTACTTAGGTACTTAGTAATCGGCCAGATATTCATTCATTCATTCATTCATTCATTCATTCATTCAACAAGTATTTGCTTGGTGTTAGGTCCTGCACTGGGCAGTGCTGGGCGACACAGTGTTGAGGACAGTCCCAGCTCTGGCCTCATGGTGCTCCCAGTCCAGGGAAGGAGACAAACCTTAAGCAATCAGTAGTTGCACATTTAATTAACAGCTACAAAGATGTAAACTACTGCGAAGGCAAGTACCGAACTTAGAGGCCATCTCATAAGGAGACCTGGGTTCAGGTGAGGCGTCAGGGTGACATTTGGGCAGATCCCTAAAGGATGAGCCAGGATTAGCCAAAGAGAAGGGGGGAATATTCCAGCGCGGGGATCCCGATGGCCCCCGTAACGGCAGCGAGGACGGTGAGGTTTGCACCTTCGCTCTGCACTCAGCGTTGGCGTGCGTGAGCTCACTGACTCCTCATAGCCCCATTCTGCTGCCGAGAAAACTGAGGTTTAGAGCGGTGACGTCCCTTGACCAAGGTCACCCAGCTTTGGTAGGCCTCCAGCCCCAGGCCTTTCAGGCCCCTGGCCCGCGCTAGTCACCACTGCCCTGATCCGTCTTTCTCAAGCTAGCTTTTCACCTTGTCCTGTCTGTTCTGCTTCCTGATGCCTTTTCGATCCTTTCCCCTTCTTTGTCTCATAGGCCTGCCTGGTTCGGGGCTTCCCGGTGGCACACACGGGCGTCCCCTCCCTCCCTGGTCTCCTGCCCGACTCTTGCACCTTTGTCTGCCAACTACCCTCAGCTTGATGGCAAAGCTGTCCTCCTACAGGAAGGACTCCTGGCTGCCTCAGTCAGAAGAGCATGTGACCCCTGGTCTTGGGGTCTTGAGTTCCAGCCCCAGACTGGGTGTAGAGATTATTTAAGTAAATAAATATTAAAAAAGAAAAAGAAAAAAGCAAGCAAGCAAGCAATGGGGGCACCTGGGTGGTTCAGTGAATTAAGTGTCTGACTCTTGATTTTGGCTCAGGTCATGATCTCATGATTTGTGAGTTCGAGCCCCACCTCCGGCTCTGTGCTGACAGAGCCTGGAGCCTGCTTCAGATTCTCTCTCCCTCTCTCTCTTTGCCCCTCCTCCACTCAGGCTCTCTCTCTCAAAAATAAATAAATGTTGAAAAAGTCTTGAGAGAAAGAAAGAAAGAAAGGAAATGGTCTTCCTAAAGCACAAACCTGTCCCTACTCTTCTCATGCTCAAAACCCGCCATGACTCCCCAGTGTCAAGAGAAGATCAAAATTCTCAGTCTGGAATTTACGACCACAGAATCGGCTCTTTACTAAATGGCTTGCTTCTCCACACCTTTTGCTCCGGCCACTGTGAACCTCTACTTCCTTCAACATATCAAGTCCTCTCCTCACCGACAGTCCTTTGGGTTCGCTGTGTCTTTTTCTATCCCCTTCTGTGTCCTCTGTTTAGCCTCCAGGACTCAGCTCAGCTATCCCTCCTCAAGGAGGTCTTTCCTGACTCCCAGACCACGTTCTGCCCCCCACTGGGCTCCCCCAGCCCCATGGATTCCCCCATCCCTGTGCCCTTTGGATCATCCCCGAGAGGTCTGTGTCCCTCACTAAACTGTGAACCCTAGGAGGGGAGAGCCTGGCACTGTCTCGGTACCAGTGGTGTCCCAGAAGCTCCCAGCAGGGGCTGGGCACGCAGTAGGCACTTAGCAAGTGATTCAGATTGTTCCATAAATTAAGAGAGTCCGTGGTGACAACTTCTGCTTATTCTTTTACGCAGGCATCCGAATGACCTCTGGACCCTCGCTTAATTCCCAGAGTGCTTGCTGCTTGCAAACAAGAGGGGACTTGAATTTTGCAGGGGGGAAGGCTCATGTGTATCTTTGAAAAGGTCAGGTGGCGATATTTGGGTTCAGTTTAAGGTGGGCCCCTGTAGGTTCATCAATGAAAAACTGGACACGTGAAAAGTAAAAGGAAATTCATCTTCGGTGGAAAGGGCCCCGTGTATGTGCGGTTCCTATAACCCCGAGGATCCCCAAGACCACATCGAGGTGATGATCTTCAGTCGTTTGGGATGGATGATTCGGGCTTCTCTACCTGTTTAACCTTCACTACGGTCGTCCTGACCATACAGGGTCCTGCCTAAGGTCCTCCTTTGCCAAGAAGCCTCTGAAACACCATGGGCATTTCAGTACCTCACACCTACTATTCTGCCTCATTCTCTCTAAGAGGAGGCGCGCCCCGTGGGAAGTCCACTGACTGTCTCTCCTCCCATGTCCTGTTGTCCCCGCTGTGGACTGATTCATAAGTATAAGCCCCCTCTGCAATCTAACCTCACCCTCTCCTGCCAAAGGAAGGCAGGTGATGGGCACCAGAAGCAAACAGACCCTGAAACTTGGCAGATGCATTTTTAAGAGCTTTTTATTGGCGACAGTGCAGAACCATGGGGGGAGGGTAGTGGCCCAGTGCCAGCCAGCCCCGGCCCCCCCCACGGTCAGGTGCAAAATACAAAAAGAGAATCACAAATACAGCATGGGGTTCGGAGGGGAGGTTGGGGATTCAGTAAGTTGTCATAGGCAGGGGCCAGGCCCTGCTCACAGTCTCGCACTCACACTCAGAATCCTTAAGAATACAGATTGTCAAAGTCTATAATCCCTCAGGCTCACTCACGAAAAAGAAAATGTCGTGTCCCCGCAAAACCCAGAGTCAGGAGACAGCTGGCCGATCGGGGACAGTCAGAAAAGAGACAGATGGAAACGACCAGGTGAACAAACAGGCAGAGAAGAGACCGGAGTGGGAGAGACCCTTGGGAAAGGGACAGCCAGAGACTGCCCGAAACAACCAGAGGGGCCGAGACCATCAAAAGAGACAGCCTGAAACAGGCCAACTGGAAGTTTCCAGAAGCAGTGTTTTTCCAACCCAGACGGCACTGCTTTGGGGCCCAACGAGACCTAGGCCGAAGTTGTAGAAGCGCTCACACGCTCACACACACGCGCACACACACACACTCATATATAATATATTTATTTATACATAATAGATATAAGTGCCTTTTCGGAAACCAGGGAAGGGATAAATAGCCATGGGGACGGGGAGGGGGGCGCGGGACGGGGCACGTGGAATGTTTTCCATGCAGCACAGAAGGCGGCGTGGCCCACCCGAAGTTAAAAAATATCAGTTTGCCTCACGATGAAATTCTCGTGAGATGAAGCACAAGGAAGGGGGGCTGGGGAGCCAAAACCAAGGATCGGGGCTGCGGGCAGAGGAAGGGAGGCTGGGACTGTGGGAGCCCAGCCCCTACGGTTTGCCAGTCCGGAAATATTGGGGGGGGGGGGCAGGGGGCCAAAGCCTCAGCCTTCAAATCTTCTCCGGAAAAACACTGGGCCCCTTGGCAAGTTCCCGTGGCTCCCTTTCTAGAAGGGATGTAGGGATGCCAAGGGCAAGGAGAAGTTGGCGTCCTAGGCCGGGGTAGGGGGACAGGCCTTAAAGAAAAAGGCCAGGGCTTGGGGCTGGGGGTCCTGAGGACAGAAGCCACGCGGATGGATGGCTGTCACCCCCACTCTCGCATTGTCACCCCTTGCGTCTAACTCACTGTGGGGGGAGGAGGGAGGCAGCTGGGGCGGGGCGGGGAGACCAAGGAAAGGCTTTGAGGCGTGGGGGGCACGATCCCCCCGGAAGGGTTCTGTCCCACCGGGCTCCCCTCCCACGATCCCGCCAACTCATTTCACAGTATAAAGCGCTCCAGGACGGGCATCACAGCGCCCCCTGCCGCCTGAATCAGAGAGGCCCAGCAAGGAAGGCCTGGAGGGAAGGCAGAGCCAGGCTGGGAGGCTTGGGGGTAACACTGTGATCGGAGAGAGGAGGGCCGGGGGCTGAATGGGGGGACATCCTTAAGAGGCCAGGAATTCAGATCAGAGCCACTTTTGCTGGGAGGGAGCGGCTGGACAATCAGGGAGGGAGGTTCACATTTCAGACTAAGTCTGGGTGGGAGGGCATCATAGGAGGCATCAACTTCCCTTAAAGGGAGGCTCAATTCAGAGGAGGATCTAACCACATGGAAATGTTGGATAAATAAGCTAAGGTCTAAGGTCGGGGGAGCAGAGAGAACCAGCCCGGTCACCCCCTGAAGGGTGGGCGTGGGAGACATTGTGGGGGAGGGGCGATCTGTGCCATTTCCTTGGTGGGCCTCCCTGGAGAAGATTCCAGTAGGTAGACTCTACCCCACAGCCCACTACCAGCACCCCTTTCCCTCCGCCCAAAGCGAGGCGCCCCCACCCCCCACCCCCATCCCCAGAGGTTGGGTTGAGGTGAAAAGGGCCAACAGGCAGCTGGGGGTGTCCATTCCCACCCCACCCCCCTGCCCCCAAAGTCACCAGCTTTGTGGCCTCGCCGGGCCATAGAAACAAGAGGCGGCACAAAACCCATGGAGGTCCTCCTGTCCGATGACAGTGGTCGCAGAGAGTCAGACACGAGAGGCAGGGAGGCCACACGCCCGCTTTGTCTCTTCCCCTCTCTCTCTCTTCCTCCTCCTCTTCCAAATCTCTCTCTCCCTTGTGTGTGTGTTTGGTTTGTGTCTAAAGAGTTCACAGAGCAAGAAGGGAGGGCGAGTTCAGGGGGTCGGAGGGCTGGTCGCTGCCGCTGGGGCGTTGGGCGCCGGTGAACGCGGAGACGTCCGGGCAGGTGAGGACAAACGAGGAAGTGTACGAAGGGTTAACAACGGGGAAGGGGTCACCGAGGACTTGAACTTCACTGTGTGTAAAGAGAGAAGCTGTCAGGTTGGGGGATGCGTCTTGGCCGGTCTGGAAGGGCAGGGGCGGTGGTGGCGGGGGCGGCAGCAGCCAGCTGAAGCCGTCTTCCTTAGTGGGTGCTGACCCCGGCAAATCTCTCACCTCCGCCAGCGGGCCCGGCCCCGGCCCCTCTTCGTAGGGGATCTTGCACCCCGGTTTGTGGGCCACCAGCACAAACTCCAGACGTTCCTTCTCCTTTTGGAGCTCGGCGATCTCCGACTCCAGCTCTGCCTTTTCTTCTTCCAGCTGATCTGTCTCCTGAGGTCCCCAGGGCGGCGTGGAGGAGAGGGAAGGAGAAAAATGTTCCGTGAGCCACTAGACTAGAGAAGGCGGGTCTGAAACCGTCCCCCCTGGACGTGCTGCAGGGGCCCTGGGGCTGAAAGGCAGCTCCTGATTGAGAGGAAAGACCCTCCCCCGCCCCCAACCATGGGGTCCTGGTGTCCTATAGGATTTGGGGCAAGGGTCTTGCCTCCCAGGAGCCTCAGTTTCCCCGTGTGTTCCGTGGATCATTGAGAAGGGGCCAGATGTACGTCGAGGGCACTGGTTGGGAGGGGCACTCAGAGGTTTGTTGAATGAATGAATGATTGTTCCCTGTTTTTAATGCCACCTGTTCCCCTCTGGTGCCCCTCCCCCTCTGCCTCCTAAGGAGGAGACCAGGTAGCTCAGGAAAGGAGAGAATTTCCCCGATTTCCTCTAGGGGCAGCACTGCAAGCCCACCTCTCAGACTAAGGGAAATTGTAAACAGCGGGGGGGGGGGGGGGGGGGGGGGGGGGGCGTCAGTGGAGGCCACTTGCCCACCACCTGAGAACTTGGGGTGTTCTCAGGCGGGGGGGGGGGTAAGAAACTGATGTAGGATAAAAAGCAAATCGTTTCACAGACTCTCCAGAATGTAAAAGCAGGAAGGACCCTGGGAGATTCCATGAGGGGCTGAAGAGCTGGAGAAACCGAGGCAAAAATGGGTTATCGCTTGCCCAAGCCGCAGAGGGAGAAAGGTCAGGACCTCTGTTAAAGGTCATAAACCAGGGCAGGCATGGCCAGGAGTTTGGGGGGCGGGGGGGGGTCTGTGTGTATGCCTGGGGCTACCCCATCTGGCCACACCTGTACCTAATTCCTTACACGGACCCTCTGGCTGTTGGCCCGGGACAAGGGCACAGGTGGCGAGGGGCGGAGGCCGGGAGAGAGCCTCCCCCTCCCTGCTTCGATGTGCCCCCAACCCCACCCCAGGGACCATCCTCACCGCCTGCAGTCGGTCAGTCAGCTCCCTCCGACGGTTTCTACACTTCGCTGCTGCCAGTTTGTTTCTTTCCCGACGAACCCTTCTCTTCTCCTCCTCCTCCGGGGTAAGCTGAGCAAGGGAGATAGAGGCCATGAGGTTCGGGGACATGGTGGACCTCCTCCATCCATCCCAAACCGCCCCTTCTTGCAGGAGGCAGAAGACCCTTTGCTAGGGCTTCTGTAGCACCAGAGGCCTGGGGGGCCCCCCCGCCTCGCGGGCGAGAAAGTTCCTGCCTTTGTTGCTCCCTAGACCCGGTCCAGGGTTTGATGCCCTTACTCACCGTCTCCTCTCGGGGTCTCCTAGGCCGGGCTCGGGCCGGACGGGCAGGCCCAGGTCCGCCGGCGGTTCCGCTGGTGGAAGGCCCACCACTGCCACTTGGTCCGCCACTGCTGTAGCCACTCACGCCCGGTGTGGAGTAACTGGTTCCTGGCATGTCGTAGGGGTCGACGGCCGGGGGCTGGGAGGCCAGCGGTTGCCCCTGGGACTGGGCCATGGAAGAGATGAGGGTGGGTTGCACGAGCCACTGGAGGTCCTGGCTGGTTGTGATCGCGGTGACCGTGGGCACGAAGGAACCGGGCATTTCCCCGAGACCGGCGCACTCCTACGGGGTGACACATACACACACGGGCGTAGACACACAAACAGAGACACCGACACACACACACCCAACACACACATGCACACCGACCCCGTGAGTGAGCACAGGGCGAGCGGGTGTGGATGTGTGTGTCACAGGCAAAAAGCCACAACACCCGCCCTCCCACTACACCGTGACGCAGTGGTTAATGAGAGGATTTCTGCTCAACTGGCTTCTACCTCCTCCTTCTTCTTCGGGGAAAGGTTGCACGGTTCCAGCGGGTGGTGAATCACACCCCGGGTTGGTGACTCTTAGGTGGGGGGGTGGGGAGGAGGCTGGACACAGCCGGGTGACAAAACCCCCGGGAAGGAGTCACAGCCACACACACAGCCACTACACCCCACCCCCACCCCAGAGGCAAGGGGAGGGAGAGGGAGAGGCCTTAGGCCAAGCCTTCTTCTACACTCACACACATACACACACCCCTCTAAGCCGGGGTGATGAGCGACTGCAAGGTCCATCAGACCTCCGTGCAGGGGCGGGGGTCTTAGTCAAGAGGGTGTTGGGGGACAGGCCTAGGAGTTCAGAACAACGTTTCAAGTAATTGTTTCTCCACGGAGTGAGGCTGACAAGTGACAGGTTACCGCGGACGGACAGGTAGAGAAAAGTGACGCCCCGGGCACCCTCAGAGTGCCGCGGAGGGAGAATGGTGTAGGTCCCGGGCCCCCGAGCCCAAGCAGCGGGCATCTACCCCCACCCCCAAATGGAATCCTAGAACTGCTCGGAAGGCTTAACTACTCTCCCAGGGGGCGTGGTGAGGGATGGGCTGGCTCACTGGCCAATCAGAGCCCTGGAAGCCCAGAGAGGGCGGGGCTCCTGGAGACCACCTGGCACGTTCCCCTACAGTTAGCCGTTCTCGTCTTGTCCTAGGACACGGCCCAGGGAATCGGCAGAGGGGTTGGGGCTGTGTCTGTGTATGCCTGGAGAAAAGGGTGACAGTCACCCATGTCTCCCAAAGGAACCTCTGCACACAGACACCCTCGGCCCCTGAGATCGGAGGGGCCGCTTCCCCGCAAGGTCCTCGCGGACCCATTGGATCGCAGGGAGTCGCTCCTGTCGCGACAGGAATCCCCTCGCTCTGTCTTTAGAGGCCAGTAAAAGAGACCCTAGCGCCGAGGAACCACGAGTTCCGGGGACGGAGAGGGGGAAGGGAACTGCACCCTACAAATAGGAAGGGAAAATTGATTGGCCAAAGCCCGCGCCGCGGCGGCCAATCGGAAGGCCGAGCTGCCCCCTCCCTTAGCAACGTGGCCCCGGCGTTCCAAAATAGAACGCTCCGGGACGTCAGGGGCGGGGCGGACGAAGGGGGCGCCGCGCGCCGTGCGTGCCCCGCGTCAGACGGAGGATTCCAGCGCGTCAGCCGTTACGCACGGGTCCCCCGTTACGTCTCCGCGCAGGAGGCGGAGGCAGCGCCTCCAAGCAAGGGTTCGAGGCCAGCGTACCCGCTGGATCAAGCGCCACCCGATGCCGGAGCAGGCGCTCAGATGCACAAGGAAAAGGGAGGCGGCTACTGGAAGCTTCCCTGGGACTTCCCCACCTGCCTAACTGCGCTAGCTTCAGGTTGGGGACCTGAGTCGGGGGCAGTCCCGGAGCAGGCTAAAAGTTCTCAGCTCTGCTACCGCATACACGTTGCACTGAACGGAGCATTCTCCCCACCCCCAAAGCTAACCCCTCTGCGTTCCCTCCCTGCGATCCACGCACACCAATTGCAAACACATCCCGACTCTGCAGTTTGCAAAGTACGCGGTGAGCCTGTTCTCTCTCAGATCCTGAGTTTTGATGTGTCTTTATTTGGGAGGGGGATTGCTCGCTCCACCTCTGACTTAAAAAGAAAAGCCTTAAAGCAGCACCCCAGCCCTCTAGAACTTACCTGGGAGGCGGCGGCAGTGGGTGGACTGCCGAAGGAGTCCACCGAAGACAGATACTGAGACTCGGCGGAGGGTGAGGAGCTGCACCGGGAGCCGGAGTCGTAGTCTCCGGGGAAAGCTTGAAACATTTCCCTGGGCACAGGGGGGCCCCTGTGACCACGCTGAGGTCGCCGGGAAGCCAAGGCTATGGCCGGGTGGAAGAGAAAGGTGCGAGTCCGGGGTGAGCCGAGCGCGTCCCCAAAGCGCGCTGTCCGAGGAAACTCGGGATGGGGGCAGCGTCCCGCTCCAACAATGGCAAAGTTTCTGTGCAATTCCTCTGCGGTGCCCAGGCCCCCACAAGATGCCGCTGTGCCTCCTGAAAGTCCAGGCTCCGTAGGACCCAGGGGCGTGGGGGGGATCGCTCCCCCAGAGGCGGAAAGCGCTGTCTTGCTGTACAGAATCTGCTTCGGGTGCGGTCTTCTCCACGCGTCCAGCGGGTCCCACGGGGGGAGGGGAGTAATAAAGAAGACAAGAAGAGTAAGTCGCTCCTCCAAAATGAAATGTAGAATTCTCTAGAAGAATCTTGCCCAAAACTTTCTCTCCGGAAAAAAATAATAAAGAGAACTTCACAGCCCCCCAGAACCACAACACTCGAGTCCCCAAGTCTCAGCTCCGCCTGTCCCTGCCGAAGCCGTACCTCTCAGTCTTATGAATGAAGCCCAAAGCCGCCAGCCTGTATTTATTTGTCAGGGACCCGCCCCCTGCTTACGTCACCCGTCCCGCGCTCCACAAACTTCCTAAAATCTCTGGCCCTGTTGAACTCAGCCCCGCGCCGTCCGGCAAGAGGTCTACCCTAGCCTTGATCTGTCCACCTGCATGACCCCTGCGGCCCTGGGGGTCGCGGGGGCTGCGTTCCCGGGCCCTCGGCGGGAGGGGATCCCGGCCCCGCCTCACAGGAGTTCCTGTGACGCAATTAGCCATATAAGGAGCTCGGCCGGCGCGGCGGAGTGTTTGTTTGGTATCCTAGCAATTACGTCAGAGGGAATCCCTCGCTCGCTCGCGCGCTCACCCCGCGCGCCTGCGGAACCCACCCGCGCCTGCGCAGTGCCGCGCCGCCCCAGGGGCCGGTATTAATAGGCTCTTAAGCTAGGCTGGGGAAGACCCCGGTGAGCGGGTACCCCCCACCTCTGGCAGCCCCTCACATTTCTCCTTGTGGTGCAGCGCCCTCCCTCAAGAGGAAGGTCAGATCCCCAAAACGAGGCCCTGGCTAGTGTCGTGTAGTCACGTAGGCGGGGAAACTGAGTCCCGACACGGAGTGGGAGGGGCGGTGATCCTCCAGGTGAAAGTGGAGGAGGGGGTGGAGTCCCGAGGCTCTTCGCAGCTTCGGCCGGGGACTCGCTGAGCGGACTCGGTGGTGTTTTCGCTCTCTGAACTTCGGCTGCAGTTTTCCCAGCTGGACAAAGGATGGGTGTCTCGGACCTTGTTGGCCCCGCATTCCGGCGTTCCGGAGGTATGCGGGTTTTGGAGCGGGTAGAGAATGAAATTTAGGATGAAGCGGCTCCTTCCCGCTTTATAATCCTACCTTTAGACAGAAAGAATGTGAATAATAATTGATGATAATAATAATAATGATGATGATAGTAACAGGAGCATGTATTTAACAATGATCAGATACCGGCTCCTGTACCAAAGCTTTCTTTTTCTTAATGTTTTATTTATTTTTGAGAGAGAGAGAAACAGCGTGAGCGGGGGAGGGGCAGACACATACTCAGAAGCAGGTTCCAGGCTCTGAGCTGTCAGCACAGAGCCCGACGCGGCGCTCGAACCCACGAACCGTGAGATCACGACCTGAGCCGAAGTCGGGCACTTAACCAACTGAGCCATCCAGGCGCCCCTGTACCAAAGATTTCAATACAAGATTTGTAATCCCTAAAACAGCTTTTGAAGGTTAAGGGAGGAAAATCTTCATTTTATAAAAGAGGAAAATAATACTTGAAGAGGGTTAAGTGACTTGCCCAAGATCCCATGGCAGGAAATGCAAAAGCAGAATCGTTAAGCTCCCTGGCTCTTACTGTCTTCCTGCTTTCTGCCAACTGCCTGTTTCAAAAAACCTCAGTTGTGAGATTGTTTAAATGGTGATGGTGATAATAGCAGCTTCCCGTCATGGGAGGCATTGTGATCCAGGCTCAGAACAGTGGCCTTAGCTGAGGTGTCTCAGGAAATGGAGTTCAAGAGTTTGATTCAAGTGTACGGGGTGCCGCAGCCCCCAGTTGTTAAGCCTCCACTGGGAAGGGTCCTGCCGGCTGCATTACAAATCTCAGGGATCCTGATTCTTCCCTCCCAGTGCAGAGCTTAGCCCAGCCCTGGGCATGGAGGGAGAAGCACTTTGAGACTGTTGAGCCCAGAGAGCAGGAGACACTGGCTCAGGGTCACACAGCAGGTCTGAGGCAGAGCAGGAGGGGGTGGGTGGGCCCTGATTCCCAAGAGAGTCTTGACTCCCTGCTTCAATAGTGGGTAAGGAGGTGGGGAGACGTCGAAGGTTGGAGGGACACGGGGGACAAAATGGGCAGGCTGAGGTTTCCAGACGAAAGCCCAGCCTCAAGCTTACCCTCCTCTTCATTCCCCCACGCCCCCTCTGTCTGCCACCGGTCTGGAAGTAGGGACATGGGCTAGGGGATGACACAGCAGCCACCATGGGCTAGGGGCAGTGACTCGGCCCCAGCATCAGACAGGGAGGGACCCCTCATTCCCTGTCCTGTCCAAGAACCTCATCTCTCCTACAGAATAAAGGAGACGCACCTTCACACCCTGACACAGATGGCCAGGGCAGCCACACAGCCACTGGCACGGCCTCACGGGGTCATGTGGGCGTTCAGACATTCAGCCACGAGCAGCAACACACAGGGCCGCACACAGACCCGGCTCCACACCCTGCCACATTGTGAAACACACGCTGTTACGTGGTCACAAGCACACGTGCCACACCTTCACTATGGAGGCACCCGGATGTTGTCACAATAATAACAAGAGTTTCTTCTTCCCGAGCACTCATGTTAATTTATTTCATTCTCGCGACACTCCTATGAGGCAGGAACTACCATTTAACCTGCAAGGAAAAGGAGGCCCAGAGAGGTGAAGCCGCTTTCCTAGAGTCACACAGCACATCGGTGGCAGAGCTGGGATAAGAACGCAGTGTACACTTCAGAGCCTGTGCTTTTATCTTATTTTATTTTATTTTTTTAGGGGCACCTGGGTGACTCCACCGGTTGAGCATCCGACTTAGGCTCAGGTCATGATCTCACGGTTCGTGGGTTCGAGCCCTGCACTGACAGCACAGAGCCCACTTCAGATCCTCGCCTCCTCTCTTTACCCCTCCCCTGAGCTTCCATTTCCTCACCTGGGAAAGGAGGACAGGGATGGTACCCAGCTACTGGGGCTGCTGGGGGATTTCATGACGTGAATATCGGCAACATTTCTGGAACATGTCTGGGATATGGTAGGGATTTATTTTGATATTAAAACAGAACCACCCTCAGTCGGTTAAGCATCCAGCTCTCGGTTTCCGCGCAGGCCATGATCTTGAGGTTTGGTGAGTTTGAGCCCTACGTCAGGCTCTGTGCTGGCAGTGCGCAGCTTGCTTGGGATTCTCTCTTTCTCGCTCTCTCTACCCCTCCCCCACTCACGCTGTCTCGGTCTCTCTCAAATAAATAAATAAACTTAAACAAACAACAACAGAGCCAACCAGAAGAAAGATACATAAGACCACGTGATAACTTTTGTGTGTTACAGATACTTCTGTTTTCGTTGCCTTCTTCCTCCATAAAGACATCTTTAAAATTAGATTTGAGGGTCAGCTTTAGCTCAAGTGAATACTTGCCATGTGGTTGTTTAAAATTAGATTTGATGAGGGGCGCCTGGGTGGCTTAGTCGGTTAAGCGTCCGACTTTCGCTTAGGTCATGATCTCGCGGATCGTGGGTTCGAGCCCCGCGTCGGGCTCTGTGCTGACTGCCAGCTCAGAGCCTGGAGCCTGTTTCAGAGTCTGTCACTCCCTCTCTCTCTGACCCTCCCCTGCTCACGCTGTCTCTCTCTCTCTCCTAGAAATAAATAAAAAACATTTTTAAAAAATTAAAAAAAATTAGATTTGATGTCTGCATCAGTATAAAGACAAATAATACTACATATTAGAACATTTTGGGGCACCTGGGTGGCTCAGTTGGTTAAGTGTCCAGCTTCAGCTCAGGTCATGATCTCACAGTTCATGAGTTCAAGCCCCATGTCCGGCTCTATGCTGACAGCTCAGAGCCTGGAGCCTGCTTCTGATTCTGTATCTCCCTCTCTCTCTGCCCCTCCCCTGCTCATACTCTGTCTCTCTCTCTCTAAAAAATATATCAACATTAAAAAAAATGTTTAAAAGAGCATTTTCTTTTACTTAGAAGTTAAGTTTTTTTTCTTCTGATTTTAAAAGAAATTAAATTTTTTTTTTGTGGGCCGCTAAAATTAGCATAGGCCCTAGTACTGTGCTTTCTGTGTCTAACGGAAAAGTTAGTTGGTCCTGGTGACCACACACACACACACACACACTCACTCACTCAAATACACACACATGGTCATGATCACCTTGCCCACAGAGCATGGGGTGGGCACGTCTTTCTTCACGGGGCTCAATGTGGAGGATCTGAATGTGGAGGAGAGCGCAAGATCTCCCCTCTGGCTCCCTGGGGATGGGGGAGGAGGAGCCCTTAAGTCTTCTGCTCCTCCAGGGGGAGGAGTGGGTGGGTGGGGAGGGGTGGGGGGGGTGTTGCTGGCTCAGAGCATCCCATAAACAGCCCTGGGGTCAACTCTGCCAAAGGGAGGCCTCACCACATCCTTCCAATTCTTCCTTGAGCAGTACTCTGGCTACCCTGTTCCTCAGTTTCCCTGTCCGGACAGCAAGAAGGGCTGGATGACGGGTGGGCTCCGAAAATCCTTTCAGGCTCTGAAATGTAATACTGAAAATGAGGAGGAGGAGGAAGATGCTGAAAGCAAATGCTTAGGAGGGTGTTTTCAAGTGTTTGCCTAGACTAATCCCCCGAGCACGCCAGCCCCATGAGGAACTTGTGTTCTTATCAACATTGTATGGGAAAGAAATAGGAAGGTTAAGCCTAAGGGCGCTGTTTCCCAGCTGTTTGTGAGCTCGAGAGTCAGCTGGGGAATCTAGTTCCAGAGCAGACGGATTTGCATTTCCAGCAGGCCCCTGGGTGCTGCTGAGGCTTCGACCCAAAGGTCTGTGTTTCTGAGGCTTGGCGGGGGTGGGGGTGGGGGCCTGGAGTGCACGTGTGCAAGGTGTGTGTCCTGCTTTTCTGACTGTGACCTCCATGATGGCAGAGCCAGGATGGTCAGTGACTGCTGGCTCCTTGGTACCCAGCATTGAATAGTGTTCCTGGCTAGCTGGACCTAGTGCTCCCCATTGGGCAGTCCTGGAGGCCTCCAGGAGGAGGTGTTTGTGGCATTTCAGGGAAAACAAGTGCTCCAGATGGGGACTCCCAATACCCTTGCATTTGGAATTCAAGCTCCTCACTCATCGTGCCCCACAAGGCCCGCGGCATAACCTGGCCTGTGCCAACCGCCTCGGCCTGGCTTTCTTACCTCTCCTCCTGCAGGAAGCCCTCCCTGGGGCAGCCTCCCTCCCAGCCCTGCCTCTCTGGGTTCA